CACACAAAACACATATTGTATAGCCATAGCGTTGTAGGCCAAGTAGCAAACAGCAACAACAACAATATTTATCTGATACTGAAAAACCACCACCATCTGTTACCCAGTCACGCTGTGTGTTTGCATGAAATTCGTGCGTGTCTACATTGAATTTCAGATTTTGTGTGTTTTTGCTTTGTTATTCATCGTTGGCATTCCCATATAATTCTCATTGACTTTGTCGCCATAGTAATAGATAATGTTCGGTTTGTGCGGAAGAAAGCATACTTACCTGGCGTAGGGGTTACCGTGATCATGAAGGCGGTTCCCCCGGAGTGAGGCTTGGCCATTGCACATCCGGCTGAGTTGACCTCCGCGATTATTCCTAATGCGAATAACTCGTGCGTGTAATTTTTGGTAGCCGGGAATGGCGTACGCGCCGTCCCGACATAAGTTAATAAATTTTATGTTGGATAAGTAGATTTTTAGGGATTTGACTGACTTGGGAGGAAGATTTTCTTCAGAACAGTGAAGGAAGAAATCAAGCATCACGAAGTCATGAATTTAATATGGTGAGTGAAAATTTAACATAAAAAATTGTTCATCGAACTAAAAAAAACTCTTGAAATGTGTTGTGAACAGTGTTTACCGCTGGAAATTTTAAAAAAGTTGCACAAAAAGTCGTTCGTTCCCTTGAAAAAAGGTTCGCAAAGAAAAATAAATTTGTCACTAAAACTGGTCCGACGTAGAAAAATTCAAATTAGTTTGAATTAAAACATAAAAAGGAAAATTCAACTTTAAAAATAACAAAGAAGAAAAGTCGCACAAAGCTTAAAAAGTTGCAAACAGAGTTACAGGGCATCAAAAGGTTGCAAATTGCGATTTTAGTCGCACAACGGTAACCCTGGTTGTGAGCCCATGTTTTTCAAAATAGTCAGGCGGTAAATTCCACTTTGCATTTTTTTTATAAAAACAACCAACGTTTTACCAGAGTTTCCACATATAAATACATCAGTGTTCAGCGTGACACTTGACATTTTTTGAAAAGTATCACATGAAGTATCATTTTTGAAAAAAAGTGGCACAAATCTTTTGGAAAGGTGGCACACTATATTGCTACATATTAACATGGATCTGATGTTATTATATATGAACGGTACTTACAAATTTTAAAATCGGTCAAAAGCAGCGTGACCGCTGACATTATTCGAAAAGTATCACAGAAAATATCATTTTTGAAGAAAGTGGCATAAATCTTTTGAAAATGTGGCACAAAAAGTGGCAGACTATTTTGCTACATATTAACATGGAATCTGATGAAATTATATATGGACGGTACTTACAAATTTTAAAATCGGACAAAAGCAAAGTCTTTTGTTTAAATATTTCAATATTTAAGACGATTTTAACAAAATCAACATTATTCTCATCCCAAGCCTGTATCCCATCAAAAATCATTGTAGACTCTATTCGATACCCCATGAAAAATTTCGCCTCAATTGGGAAAAAAGTCGGGTCTTAGGCGCACCATCTTGTATATGGGAGCTATCCTTATATGAGACGTACTAAATTGCATCCTATTGGGATAATTAATGTTACCTTCATTTGGATTACAAAAATATATTCCTATGTCATGCACAATAACAATACCCCGTACCACAGGATGTAAAAATTCCAATAGACATATTCAATAAAATAAATTGAAAAACGGTCCACATGAATATTTCCTTAGTAAATATCTTCGTGTACGAGCATTTTAAAACAAAGTGGCAAAATATAGGAAGAAGTTGCAGAACATTTCAAACAGTGGCACATTTGGTATCAAAATAAAAAAGTGGCACAAGAGTGGCAAGGCCGAAAAAAGTATCAAAATTGCTACTTTAGTGGCACAACGGTCACGCTGGTCAAAAGCTCAGTCTTTTGTTCAAATATTTCAATATTTGAGACATTATTCTCATCCCAAGCCTGTATCCCATGAAAAGTCATTGTAGACTCTATTCGATACCCATTGGAAAATTTCGCCTTAATTGGGGAAAAAAGTCGGGTATTAGGCGCACCATCTTGTATGCGGCAGCTATACCTATATCTTAACCGATTCTCAACAATTTGGATAGACTAAACAAATGAGACGTTGTTAATTGCATCCTATTCGGATATTTAATGTTACCTTTTGGTTACCTTCATTTGGATTACAAAAATACATTCCGTAGTGGAAGTGATGCAAATGTGGTATAGGTTGGTAATGTGGTATAGTCACGTTTTTTGTAAACTGAAAATTTTACAATAACTGAAACATGTTCTATAGTTTGCTGTTCGCAAAAAAATAAGATAGCAATGACCTGTTTAATTTATTTAAATCACGTTGAGAATCAGTACCAAAAATAAAATTTTTCATGAAATTTACTTTTTTTCGGTTGAAGTTTAAAAATAATTTTTTGTTTTACGGATGTACTTTAATCGTTATTACTAAAGCATTAAAATAATCAGTATAAACTAAAAATCAAATAATATGCGCGATTGCACCACATAATCACCAATTTGGAAAAAAACTAGACATTTCTTCAGTAAACACAAGTGTAGGTAATGTGGTATACCTTGGTTCTGCATGAAAAAAGGCCAGCACTAGACAAAATCTCATTACTATGTGAAACATTTGTACTCTACGAGAGTCTACCATGAATCACAAGGATGAAAAACAAAGGCTATGAGTTTTAACAACTTCTCCATACAAAAATTAAATATCGACATGTGTAGACATTATTATATAATAAAAATTTAAGTTCCACTCAACGTATCCGTTAAAAATCTTAACAGACATAAATCTCGAGCTAATTCGCATTCATTAAAAACAATAAATTATATAAGATATCAATTGGAAGTGAAAATTATACTATACCACATTAACATAATGTTGTATACCACATTACCTGCACTTTTTTTAAAATCACTTTTTATGGGATTTCAAATATTTTCTCAAATATCTCTTAAATTGTTAGAATAATATTATTTTCAAATTGATACATGGAAAGACAACACATGTAGCATGTTAAGTGTAAAATTTCAATTTAATCGGATAAAAAATAAAAATTTGGCAATCTAAAAACAAATGGATATACCACATTTGCATCACCTCCTATATGTCATCAAATGCACAATAACAATTCCCTGTACTACAGGATGTAAAAATTCTCATAGACAATTTCAATAGAACCAATTGCAGAAGCATTTGAGCATTGTGAATTTGAGAAATAAAAGAAAGTTAATAACTTTTTTAATGTTGGAAATAATTCGTTTCCTATGGAATTTTTTAAATTAAAAACTTTTTGCCAGTATACTTCAGGTTCCAAGTTTTCATAAAGTTCAAACTTTTCGAACTCTAAGAGTGCATGTTGCAGCAACTCATTATCGTGTTGCAGCAGGTTAATATTGAATGATGACCAAAATTTTGTGGTAGCCCCCATGTATAAAATGTTCCTACAAAAATGATCAATAGTGGACCACTTTTTAGTGTTGGCGACATATAGCGCCACATTCCAATATTTAGTATTTTGGAGGACTTGTTCATGTGCTTCAACTAAAATTAGCTGTAATTTTATAGTTGAGATTCTCTCCGGGGCGACACCGCCATTATTCGGTATTACACAGGTCGTGTAAGAAGCAAATATTATCTGCAATTTTGCTTGAAAATCCCCCATACTATCAAGTTTTTAGACCCTCAGCCTTTGGAGAATAAGCTTATATATACATTGATATGGCTAAAATGTGCCTCATCGAAATATTGGTCTTAGGCCCATGTTTCTTTGGACCAAATCCGTTTCAGACAATTTGGAGCCGATTTACAAATGTTCGTCTGTCTGGCCGGCTGGTGCGCACGATAATTCTTGAAGGAAATAACCAATTTCATCCAAACTTTGCACATCATATTTCTACCAAACTTAGTTCAAGTTCGAAGATGGGGAATATCGGTCCACACTCTGATCTCACCAACAAAATGGTCAAAATTGTACATACTAAAAAATCATAAAATTTGAACAATTTGAACCAATCTATGTACAAGCTATTATCTTTAGCCAGCCTAGTACGATACTGAAACACATTGGTTCAGTCCTCCTTGAGACTTCCCCCAAAGGTCACATTCCATTCGCAATATCAGGCGAATGGAATGTCCGATTTGAACCAAACTATGCACAAACTAACTTCTGGTAACTCCCTCACAAAGGGTCAGTGTTGTTTACATTTCGGTATGATTTCCATATAGAGGTGCCGACCCATTTTCTATGTTTTGAAGGCTTCAGTCGCATTTTTTCTAGAAGACATACATACATATACAGAAAAATATAAATAGTTTTTAACCGCATTTTCCCATTGTAGTGTCTGTAATTTGACATTCCGCATTATTGGAGGTAAAACACATTTTTAGGGAAAATATACAATTTTCCCCAAATAATGGGTCCAAGATTTATTCCTTTAGCAGAATTTTCACATCGATTCCCCCATGCAAATGTTTCGTTTAATTTTCGATATGTTGAATTTGGAATAACCTTTTGGTCCTCCCAATATAAAGTTTTTTCTTGTTTCCTCACAAGTTGTGAGTCACAACTTACTTCAGTAAAGTATAATAAAGAAAATAACTGCAATTGTTGGTGGTATGTGTAAATAATATTTTATGTTTTATTTGTGAATATTTGAATATAATCTGGTTATTTTGACCGTGTTTAAAATGTACGTATGTAAATGCCATAAAATAAATAAATATCTATGTATATATGAATGTATATTGCACTTATCTCATATAATTGCTATATGTTCGCTAAAGTTTTGTTTTGCATGACTTAGTTTTGATATTTCTTGGTGTGTTTGCGTTTTCCGTTCTAGCCAGTGGTAAGTATGTAGCTTGTGGTGTCTACCGAAAAATGCTAATGAAATAATACTTAGAATGCAACATAATAATTGACAAACTTATTAGACTAAATCCTTTAGTGAGTATTCGAGTCGTGGTGATTGAATGGAATATGCGCTTATGATTTTGCCGATGAGACCATTAGGTGAAAGCAATAGTAAGTGAAAAATAATGCAATAATAAACCAGCACTGGGACCGTAGCAATGATGCAAAAAATTCTGGGGATAGCTGCGATGTATACGGATCGTATGGATGATATCCCACTGGGGGAATATAAAGATCTGCTCAATATCGTCGTGCTGTTGTTGGTCGGGGAACACCTGATGTACGTGGACGTGCTATCGATGACTTGGCACGAACAGGTTGTGTTACCGAATCGGAATTGTAGCTAAGATAGACATGTGACAAATCCACAAAATCGTTGTTATCTTTGGTCGAGGCCTTCGAGTCGGTGATGTGTTTGCGCATATTGTTACCAGTGTAGGCAACACATTTTAATTGCCACTCTCCAATGTCTTCGTTCCAATGGGTGTATTCGTTAATCATTGTCTGATACTCTTTGGGTATGTATGAGTTCAAGACCAGCTCACAGAGGGCCAATTCACGTGAAAGGGAGCGTATGTTTTCATAAATCGCTTCCTTTTCTCGCTGATGTTCCTGCTGTTGATCAGCCAATTCCGACTTGACACCCATCAACATTTGCATTACCCGATGTATCTTCTTGGTTATACCCGTGTTGGCTTCTTGCAGCGATGAGTAGCGTTCTTCGATGTCGATACGTTCGGTTTCTTTTTGTTGCAAAGTCTCACGCAACATTTGTTCCGCCTTCTCCCGTTCCTCCAACTCTTTCAATGACTGCTCCAATAACTTCTCCTGGGTCTGAGCCTTTTCCAAGAGATTTTCACCGCCCACCAAAATCTTGCCTTCCAATGACATAAGTTTATTGCGTAACTGTTCTTGTTCTGATTTGGTTTTCGATATTTCCATTTGATGTTCCCGTTTACGTTTCTCGAGAGCCTCCTTCTTGGCTTGCTTCAATTCTCGCAAACGTTGCTTCTCCAAGGCTTTTTCGGTTATTTGGTTTTGATCTTCTGCCAGAACCTCGGCCTCAATTTCTTCGTCGTCTTCATCTTCTTCCACCTCCTCAACCTCTTCCTCTGGCTGCTCCTCTTCGTAGCCCTCCTCCAGTTGTTTGCGTAGACGTTCGATTTCTTCCTGGAAGTGCCGGAGCAAGGCATCCTTGGGTTCCTCGTTAACGTGCATACGATTTGTGATGTTTTTGGTGCGACTGGCGTAACGCAGTGTGGAAATGGTTTCCATGTAATTAGTGTCTGCTGGCGAGATTGTGGCACACATGACGGTCTTTGAATTGCCACCTAAGGAATCTTGCAACAAACGGGTCAATTTTGAGTTTCTATATGGAATGTGAGAGCTTTTGCCATCCACCAAAGCACTGATGACGTTACCCAACACGGAAAGGGATAAGTTGATTTTTGTAGCCTCCTTCAAACGTTGGCCACTGGCCTGGGTTTTGCTCTGCCTTTCCGAACCGGCCAAATCCACCAATTGCAATTTACCCATTCGGACATGTTGTTGGCCACCTTCTCCCAATTCGCTGCGCTCAATAGTGATGGAGAATATGGCATGTGAACGCGACGACTCTTGATTCATTTTAGTGGCGCCCACCACACGATTCTTATTACCCAATTTCATAATGTTCTCCAAATCGTCAGCGTTGTGGACCACATAGCCACTGAGATCTTTTACGAATACACCAATGTCAGGCCTTTCTTTAACTTCCAAACTTTTGGTTACATCCTTTCCCAACAAATCACGAACTTCTTCATTGTAAATTTCCATATAGCTGACCCTTACCAAAAATTTCTGATTCTCTTTAGCCTTGGCAATATGGCCGAAAATGTGGGCAAAGGCATTTGGTATTATACCCTTAGTTTGGGGACTCTCCGGATTGCCGGACATGGTGTAGGTTTTACCCGTACCCGTTTGACCATACGCCAAAATGGTTCCATTGTAGCCTTCCAAGACTTTCTCCACAATGGGTCTAGCAGTGTCTACATACAGATCCAGTTGACTGCTATCACCATCGAAAACATTGTCGAAATAATACGTCTTGGGTGGTTCATTGACAGTGGCGTTTGGTTTAACCACTGTTATAGCCCTCTTCAGTTTATCCACTTTGATTACACCCAATGCCCCCGCAGTCAATTCATTTTTGTCCATGGGTCTTGCACGTACCACAACTCGGACATTTTCCACTTCGGCTTCCGGTTCCTGATATTGCTGATCATTTGTCATGATTCTGGGATATTATTTTGGAAATTTTAGAAAAATGTATTTTAGTTTCCTTCTTTTTATTTTGGTTGCTTAGCTATGTGTAGGAGTACAATGCCGTGGGTTTCAAAACCGTCGGCGTAGCGAAATGAGGAGAAACAAAACAAATACACAAACAGTGTTGCCAGAATTTACTGCATTAGCACAGCTGTTCAAAAAAATGTTGTTTGATTCTCCATTTCATGATAAAATACATGGCATAACTTACAAGGTAGTCTCATGCAGTCATATGTTTGCAATTTTTTTTATAAATTTGCTTTTGACAGTATTCAGCTTTCAAAATGACAATATCTCTCTCTAAATGTACGCAAATCGTGTGTCCATTGGCAAAAAATTTTGAATAATTTATATTTATTAATATTTTTAAGTTCAATGCCTATAAATATAAAATGTAACAATAATGGTTAAATCTTGAGAACAATGTGGAGCTTTAAAAAATTTATACAGTGAGTGTAATAAGTATTTTGCCTCAATACAAATTTGACAAAATTCCAATATATACGCCTAAAGCCAGCATACTAAAGATGTAAAATGAATTATGTATGATTGAATATATTTGTGGACATATTTAGATCTTATTTCCGCAAGAATAACTGCGAAAAACATATTGGTCTCGAAGATATCGGCCAAAATCTATACCAACCCAAAAATGATTATCACAAAAAAGTATTTTGCTTTTTTATTATTATTTTTGAAAAATCATTATATAACACACGCTTTGTCTTTTTATAGTTACCATTGCGGGTAACCACATACTAAAAGCGATCTGGCGACGATTCCAATAAACCACGGCATTTTTTCGCGAATATTTTCTCACATTTATGTTCAATACATTCTCCAGCAATATTTAATTTAATATATGGTAATTTCTGGTCCTAATTTCAAAATAAGAGTATTAGATATAGTCGTCAGGGATTCAGAACATCCCAAATAACTTTAGAATAATAAAAAGAAGGTTTTGCAAAATATATCGCGAGGACAGGACCTTAAAAACTATTAAAACCAAAATCCGACAAACAAATTATTAAAAAAAAATATCGCGAAACCCCCTTTTTTCAGATTTTGAAAACTTTATGGTCCATTAATATTAATCTAGGAACCAATATATGTGATTAAAATAGCAATAAGGAGGTCAGATTCAAAGAAACGACATGCGTTTGTGTTATCGTTTCCTTGTGGTTGTTGTATTTTCGATAATATATAACGCGACGGATGGCTCAACGCGAGCATTCTGCTTAGCCCTTAAATGCGGCCAGTATAAAATTAATTCAGAATATTTTCACCAAGAATGTAGAATTCGAACTACGATAAAAATGTTTCTTTTATGATATGAAAAATAGTGAAAATTTGTATATTGTATGTACTCGTACTACAAGAATCTACTATTTTGTACTACGATAATATTTTTCCTTTATAATATCGAAGAAAATAGTAAGATCTTGTAGATTCTTGCAGTACAGGTACAGACCAATATACTTGCAGTACAGGGCTAAGCAGAATGCTCGCGTTGAGCGTTTTTTGTTATCGCGTTAACGCACGCAAAAAGTTAAAATATCAATATCAACTTCGAGCGTTTATCATTACTTCGAGCGTTTATCGTTATCGTTTCCTTGTGGTTGTTGGGTTTTCGATAACACATAACGCAACGGATGGCTCAACGCGAGCATTCTGCTTAGCCCTTTACAGGAACATACCAAGAATGTTCGATTTCGATGTCAGTTAACCGGACCTGATGATTAATCGATTAGTCGAATGTCGACTTACATATCCCTAGTTTTAATTGAACGTGTTCATCGGGAAGGGAAAGAAGAAGGTAATTTTTATTTTTGTAATAAAAAACGCACGGGAATATTATTAAATTAGAAATTAGGACAAACGTGCCCGAAATGAATGGATGGTGATACAGAACTGTACAATTAATAAAAGGATTACCAGAAGTTATAGCATCCTGACCAGTGCAAACAAAGCAATTTCAAGAGACTTTGTTGTGACCACGTTTGATTGAGAGCCACAGGGAAAATACTACAAGAATAGAAATTCAAATTCATTCATGAACAAACTTGTAACAAATATTTTTAGAGTTGCAACTCCCTTAACATTAAAGAATTCCCAACTATTACGGCAACGTCACTTTTGGAAAAACATGGACTGTGAATTGTTGCAACCGCCCTGTGAGGTACAAGGCATGCTCGAATTGAAGAGGGAAAAATTTGCTAAAGCCATACAAGTTCCACGTTTATGGGTTCGCGAGGAAAAAGCACAGAAAGTGTTGCCAGTGGTTAAGAAGCTATTGTTGAAAATGGAAAAACTGAAACCTGTAAAACCCTGCACTCTTAACGAAATCGATGGCAGGGAAATACTTCTGCATCCCACTCCTGTCAAGCAATGGGAGGATTTACCCTGCAGTGTATTAGAACAGCATGAAGTGGGCAAGGATAATTTTGCATTTACCCAAATACAGCTGACATATGACAATTGGCGGGCGGATGAAATCCTCAAAGCGGTCTTACCCAAAGATGAAGAAGGGTTGACATCGTATTCACGCATTGGTCACATTGTCCATTTAAATTTACGTGATCATCTGTTGCCCTATAAGAATTTGATAGGACTGGTACTATTGGACAAGGTGGCTAATTGTAAAACAGTTGTGAACAAAGCTTCCACCATAGATAATACCTATCGAAATTTCCAACTGGATTTGCTGTGTGGCGAACCCATCTATCAAGTGGAGACCAAAGAGAATGGAGTATTTTTTGAATTCGATTTTTCAAAAGTCTATTGGAATCCACGGCTCTCCACTGAACATGAACGTATAGTTCAAATGTTAAAGCCAGGCGATGTGCTGTACGATGTATTTGCTGGTGTGGGTCCATTTTCCGTGCCGGCTGCCAAAAAGAAATGTACTGTCCTGGCAAATGACTTAAATCCCGAAAGTTTTAAATGGTTGCAGCACAACTTGAAACGCAACAAATGCCAGAGTATGGCCCAATCATTTAACAAAGATGGTCGTGATTTCATTTTGCAGGAAATTAAAGAAGATTTATTGAAACGCTGGCAATCGAAGGACGAAGGAAAATATAAAATTCACATTACCATGAATTTACCTGCCATGTCAGTTGAATTTTTATCAGCCTTTCGGGGCTTGTTTGAGAAGGAATGTCTGGAAAATGTCATTGAGTTCAAACAGGATAATTTGAATTATCCTTTGGTCCATGTTTATTCCTTTGCCAAGGGTACCAATACCAAGGAATTGGTATTACAACTGGTCGAAGATAATCTTAAAATGCCACTTAAAGAGAATCTAGAAGGCATTTACTTTGTGCGTAATGTGGCGCCCAATAAGGATATGTATCGGGTGTCATTCTATTTAACCAAGGATATGGTGACACAAGCAATTGCCACACATCCTGAAGAAGAAACAAAAACTGAACAACTTAAACGTAAGGCAGAGGAAACAGAAAATGAAGAATTATCGGATGTTTCCAAAAGTAAAATTAAATGTCCTTACTAGTTGTTATTTTATTCATTAATATTTTATTAATAAATAATGTTTTGTACAAATTGTAAATACTTTTGTTTTTCTTCTTATAGTTTAAACAAAAATGGGTCGCAGGTCAAAGCAAAAGTCAGGAGCAATTGCTGCCAAAAAGACTAAAAACATTTTCAAGGTTAATGATGTCAAGCAAAAGAAGAAACCCAAAGAAGTTCAGGGCAAACTTAAAAAGGTACAACAAAACAACCAAATATCTTCTACGACATCATTATAATTTAATTATTTTCTTTATTTCATTTCAGATCAAAGAGGCAGTTACCAAAAAACAAGAAAAAGTCGATGCCAATCTACGTGAACTCCACAAAGATTTGGTGGTAAAGAAACCACAAGCATCCACCTCGAAACCTCTTAAGCCTGGCAAGAAACCAGCGGCCAACACCAAAAATGTTTCAGATAAATTGGGTGATTTGAAATTCTAAAAAAGAAAAGCAAAAAACAAATCTATATGGAAACATAAATGCCGTAGTTGTGTTTTCAATAAGGCCTTCCACGTACTTCCAAGACTTTACCCATTTTTTAGTTTTAGTTGTGTTTATTTTTAGTTTTAGTCATCAAATTAGCAAATCATGTACTTTTAATGATCAATACAATCGTATATTGTAAACATCTAAATGAAAATGATTGATTATGAAATGTATTCATATCAAAGCAAAATATATAGCCCCCCATAACACCACCGTAATATTGACTGATAAATTTTAATGTGTTTTATTCTAGAAAATAATCTGAATAATATGAATGAATGAAAATACTACAAGAATATAAATTCATGCATAAATAAACTTGTAATAAATATTAATAGAGTCGCAAATCCCTCATCAAACAATTCCCAACTTTTTCGGTAAAGTCGCTTTTAGAAAAATGGGCTGTGAATTGTTGCAACACCCTTATGAGATGCAAAGCATGCTCGACTTGAATAGGGAAAAATTAGCTGAAGGTATTCAGTTCCACTCAAAAAATTGTTGCCAATGGTTAGGAAGCTATTGCTGAAAATTGAAAAGCTAAAGCCTGTAAAATCATATACTCTTAACGAAATCTATGCATGTAATTCATTAGATTCTAGGGTCTTGGCGTATTTAAAGTCTCATTGGAGGCAATTTCGGGGTTTAGCGTTATCCTACTGTTAACGACATCCCTATCCGTTCACAGGTGTTTAAAACCATGTCTGCATTTGGCATTCCTGCATTCAATACGCCTATACAGGATAACTTTAACTGATAATAGTTCAGCAGTTAAAGTCGGAAAGGACCTCTCAGAGCCTTTCAATACCGAACGAGGATTCAGACAAGGGGACTGTTTGTCGTGTGACCTGTTTAACATCTGTACATCAAACCGCATATTTTACTCGCCTACGCAGATGACATCGACATAATGAATCGAACATTGCGAGTAGTAACAGCGGCAGTAAATGGCGAAAAGACCAAGCAGATGGTATGAAACTCACGCTCTACAAGACGCAGATATTACCCGTTCTGATGTATGGATCCGAAGCATGAGAACTGGCACAAGCAGATAATGCAGGTCTTGGAGTGTTTGAGAGAAAAATTCTCCGTCGACGGTGACTATAACCGTGAAATGAACCATGAGATATACCATATATTCTCGGACATCGACATAGTCAGACGGATCCAGCTGCTGTGACTATGTTGGCCAGGTAATGTTGTGAGAATGGATTATGATGCCCCCACTTAAAAGGCATATACAAGCGAGCCAAGTGAAGGTTGTCGCAGAAGGGGAAGACCACGAATGCAATGGAAAGATAATCTAGAAGACAATATCTCGGAAAATGCTCTATCAAATTGGATGAGATGCGCACAAGACCGATGCGCCTGGAAATATTTTTTAAGCTCGGCTTATTCTTTTTTTTTTTATCGTACGTTCCCACGCCTCACTTTCCCACCCCTGCCGACCGAGGGGGCGACCTCCCCTTTCGTAGGGATCGCGTACGCATCATAATCCGCATTATGATGGAATATGAGAAGGGATAGAAAACCAGCTACAGAAATCTACTTCAACAGCCAGTTTGTTATTAAGTTGTATTATTCATTTAAAAATATGATTATATTAGATTTTATTAGGTCTATATTCATGCAAAAGTCTACGTTAGAATACACAGAATTGAAATCAATACACATTTTACTAAGTGGATCTCCCATAGAATAATTTGTGCGATGAAAATCTACGTATAATGGTTGATAATATCTACTTGATCGAAAAGGAACATTTATTCTAATGGATGAAATTAGGAAGTCTGAGGGTATATTACCGCTTAGTATTTTAATTACTATTATAGTGTTCAACATAATACGTCTACTTTTTAATGTTGGCAATCGAATTAATTTTAACCTGCTAGTGTAAGAAGGTATGGAACAACTTTCTGTCATAAGCCAGCTAAGTAAGTACCTAAGTGAAGGTTGCCTATCTATATGTTTCTGGTTCCGAATGAGTGATTAAATCTGATTCTGTTAACGGGAGTGGGCCAAAAGTCACGGTTCTAAGCTTTAAAGGAGTGGGAATATCAGCAATTTTTTATTATCAAGAATTAAACATGTAAAATCAATGCTTTAAAAATTTTCATTAGCGGAATTGACAATGTTTTGGACACCTCTGACACTGAGATATGACAATGTTTACAATACTTTTCTACAACGATTAATAGTTAAAGAATTCAAAAAGAATAAAAACAATGCGATAAGCAGACAACAATTTCTAAATAACATCACAAGAATCATTCGTGGAATAATGGACATACCGGACATACATATAATACATTTCCAAAAAAAAAAATTGTATTTAATCTTATCTCCCAATTTTAAAATTTTCATCAGATAACAATTAATTAGAATTTCAAAAATGAAAGATATATAAGCATCCTCCAACAGCATATCGAAAATAGTTTTTTTACGATTATCTAACGACAATGAAGTGTATAACGGTTTTGGCACTACTTTTAGCCTGTACCATGGGCTCAATGGCCCTGGTGCCGCCACCTGTTAATCCCAGTGGACCAGTAGCTGTTATTCCCACCCCACCACCAGCACCGACAATGGCTCAGGATTTAACTGAAATTATGACAATGGTAAACATGATCCAATTGCGCCAACTTATGACTCGCTACCTCCTAAACGATGCCCAATTCCAAGCTTTTGTTCGCATCATCAACTCCCAAGATGCCTATGTGACCTATATGCGTTTCCGTTCGCAACCTGAAGTTTTCGGTTTCATTGCCTGGGTGAGAGCACAAATTATGTTGTCGGGCGGTGAATTCCAATTGGAAGAATCTGAAGAACCAATGACCATCATCAATCAGACACCATTCTGGGCAAATACCGTATTCGGATGGCAAGGATTTGTCAATGAATTCTTGTTGTATTATCCTGAAACTATGATTCGTATGCACATCACAACGAAAGTGGCTCAAAATGGTATCTTTACACAACTCTGGAATCGTTTGAAGGCTTTGAAACCGGTGTATGAACGTGTTATTGCTACTCCCGAAGCTCAACGTGTTGCCGCTGCTTTGCAACAGAATGGCATTGATATTGTGCAATTGGATACATTTATTCGTAATCAATTCGGTTGGCAAATGCCACCAACATCTACTGCTGCTTCTGGACCAGTTGATGTCCCTTTAGTTCCTGTTGTTTAATTTATTTAATTTTTATTATATTAAATAAATGTGTGTAAATGTGTATGACGTGTTATTAAAATAAACGAAAAAATAAATTAATTTTGGATTTTTTTGTCTATCTGCTATCAATGAAATAAATTTTGGAATGCACTTATAAATGATTTTCTATCTGCATAAGCTGTGTTGAAATTATTTATTTTCTAAGCCCAATAAATTTGTTCTACCCATTGAGGACCGGTAAATATTTTTCTATAAAGGATCTTAAATAATGTTACAGAATTAATATTGTTCTAAATTTGCTGCCATTGATAAACGTATAGACGTTCAAATATTAAATTCGGATGATGAGGGGTAACAAATTGAACTGTAATTTTGAAATTATTATTAGAATCAAAAAAATAGTGGGTACATAGATTGAACAGCGTAATTTGGTATGAGAATCGCTGTCGATGTAAGGATTGAGACAACTTATTTGCGAAACCATGAAACAAAAAAATTTTGTTCACAGGTCTAAAAAATAGTATAAATTTGATATTAGGGATTCTTATTGAGCAGAAAATCTTCTTAACAAAAAATTCTATATTGAGCAATGTTTCGGAGTAGCACCCATATTGCGGTACCACCCAATATTCAGTATTTTGAAGTTTTTGAGAACTTTTTCAAACGAATCGGCTGTAATTTTGTATTTTGTGTTCTCATTGGGTAGAAAATCATCTTACTAAAAATTATCATTATTAGTCCAATTGTTAGGGCAGCCCCCATATAACGCTATTTTCCGAATTTCGGATTTTTGTGGATTTTGGGCACTTGTTTCATTCGAATTGGCTGTGATTTTATTTTTTGGATTCTCATTGAGTAGAAAATCTACCTACCAAAAAATATCAATATTGACCCAAGTTATCAATATCGGTTTACGACCGACCGATTTTCGACATTTTGACGGCTTTAGTCACATTTTTTGGTTAAAGGGACATAGGTACCATATAAGGGTAGCGTCCCATTGTTAGTATTTTGAAGATTTTAGCTGCATTTTCCATTGTATTTTTGTTTTTCCTGGATATTGGAGGGTAACATATATTTTTGCGGAACATTTTCTAAGTAGGTCGACATTTTTATATAGCCCCCAAATAACAGTCCCGAACCATTTTCGGTATTAAACAATTTTCAACCGAATTTTTCCATCGAAGTGGTTATAAATTGGCATACCGGATTTCTAGTTCTATTCGCTAGGGATCCGGTATGCCGATTTATAGCCACTTCGATGAGAAACTTCTTTCCGAAAATTAGTACAATTTCCCATACAAAGGTCACGTATAATTTTCGGTATTTTTAAGTTTGTAGTTTAGTACTTCGTTTTGTCCTGGAAGTAATTTAACAGGACTGTCCACCATGTCATCATCGTGGTGGAGTTTAGAAAAAGTTCGCACTAGCCGCACTAATTGAAGTTTTTAATATGTTTCATCATTCATAGTTTTCATAATATACTCCATATGAAGTTGGCGCCCAATGTTCGCTATTTTCAATGGGTTACCATCTCGCAAAAGATTATCAGTTTAGGTCCGTATTTGGTCCCATCTAATTTCTTGGAAGTCTTCTAGAAACCATACATATTATCTAGAGAAGACCTTTTGACGGTAATATTTACAATGAGGCCTCATGGATTATAAATTTGTCAGACGAATAATAAACTTCATCATCTACAATTTATACGAAAATTATTGGTCGGGTGAAAGTAGAAAAGGGCGATGGAAATTTGGGAATATTGATAACATGAAAAAAAAAAAAAAAAAAGAAAAACGTGAGCGTAAGCAAATCGAAATGTACAGGAGTCAGAATGAAGTCCGAAAATTTTACCAACGAGTAAAACACCAAACCGAAGGTTCTGCCACATCCACTTGAAGAGATTTGCGAATATTGATAACTTGAAAAAAGAAGAAAGAACAAGAAAAACATGAGCGCGAGCAAATCGAGAGGTACATGAGTCAGAATAAAGTCCGGAAATTTTACCAACGAGCAAAACACCAAACCGAAGTTTCTGTCACATCCACTTGAAGAGATTACGATGAAAACCTGGTGACTGATACATATATCATGTTTAGGAGTATTTTGCAAAGAGTGTATACCACATATTATCGAGTATCAAGTATTCGGCTGAAGAACAATAAACAGGAGGTGAAGATGCTGGTCAGGAGCATGCACCAGATCAATAGTACAATTTGACCAATGATTGTAACCTCAGCATCCTGTGTCCAGTGAGACAAGACGATATGTGCCAACTATAGAGCAACAAATCTCCCTCCCATCGCATATAAACTGTTATCCAGCGTGCTGTCATTGACTGAAGACAATGGTCAATGACATTATTGGATCATACCAATGCGGTTTCAGACCTGGCAAATCCACAATTGACAGATTTTCACTCTTCCCCAAATGCTGGAAAAGGACCACGACACATTCCACCTATTCGTGGAGTATGAAGCCGCATTCGACAGCCCTATCCGTTCAGAGGTATTTAATGACATGGCTGCGTTCCGCATTCCTGCAAAATTAAGTCGGAAAGGACCTCTCGGAGCCCTTCAATACCGAACAAGGTTCATCCTGAACATCCTGCTGGAAAAGGTCATACGAGATGTAAACAGCAAATGCTTGCCTACGATTTAATATATCTCGATCCCGCAAAAAAAAAAACTAATGACATCAGCATTGAAATCCGGAGGAGAATAGAGTTGGCCATGATATGCTACTATGGTCTGAGTAAGCAACACAAAAGCAAGGCTACTTGTCGGCAGACCAAACTCAAACTCTACAAGACACGGATATTACCAATGCTGTTGTATGGATCTGAAGCATGGATACTTGCGCATCTCTTGGAACGTTTGAAAGAAAAATTCTCCGGATGATATATGGGTTGATCTGCGTCGACGGTGAATATCGTCGTCGAATGAAGCATGCGCTATACCATCTATTCTCGGACATCGGACGGATCGAGCTGCAGCGACTATGTTGGTTAGGTCATGTTGTGAGAATGGATGGAGATGCCACAGCTCAAAAGGCATACAAAAGCGAACCAGCTGATGGTTCACACAGAAGGGGAATGCCACGAATGCTATGACAAAATTGTTTTTTCTGGATTCTTAATATACTCGGCAAAGATTTTCATCCCCATAAGAAAAATTCTGCCCCAGACCATTACCTCGATTTTGTGTCACAGTGTAAGAAGAGGATCTGTAGATATACATATTTTCTTCAATTCTAGAAACTCCTATATTTTTAACTATACAAAAATTAGATCTAATTATATCCCGCATAATAAGACCTTTACTCCCAAAGCAATTATATTATTATTCCTTAGTAGTCATTATTGACAAAAGTAAACTAGACCTGTAGAAGGTTTTCAACTCAAAGAAGTTCCATCTATAGAAAATCTGTAAAATAAAGATATTTTTATAGAAAATCTGTTATATGTACTCTAATTTGAAATTCTACTCCAAAAATTATTAAGTATCCTCCACCACAAATTATTATTATGCTATATTTAGAGTATCAAAAAATAGATTAGTCACACGCGACAAAAGTAAAGAAGATTCATACAATCAACAATAACAATTTTCGCAGGAAAAAATATACACAAAATATTATCTAATAAATAAGTCGAAATTTTGCACATTATAGCTTGATAATGGAATTTACTGGTCTGCGACAAATCCCTTTGTCAACAATAACAATTAACATCAACGCAGAATCTCAACTCAGCATCATCTGAATCATCAGCAGAAGAATGGCTGACATATGTTGACCCCTTCAAAACAACGAAAACGTAATATCTAATTTTCATCTTATCTCAGTATTGATAAGAATTACCAAAACATTCCAAAAATTTATCTGAGAAGACTGGTAATATAATAACCGTTAGCGAATTATAAATCATAGTATTACTCCGACGAAAGCCCAACAATTCGAAACGACAAGTTAGCGGGAGAGAAACGATGAAATACCTATTAACATTCACACTCATTGCCATGTGTGCCATGGGCAGCATGGCCTTGGTGGTACCAAAACCAAATCCTGGAGCTGTTGTTGTGCCCACACCACCACCTGCACCCACCATGGCTCAAGATTTAGATGAAATTATGCGTATGATCAACTTCCTGCAAATCCGCCAACTGATGAGCCGTTATCTGCTCAACGATGCCCAGTTCCAGAGTTTTGTACGCATCATCAACTCCCAGGATGCCTATTTGACCTATATGCGTTTCCGTTCCCAGCCCGAGGTTATGGGTTTCATTGCCTGGGTAAATGCCCAAATTCTATTGTCCGGTGGTGAATTGCAATTGGAAGAATCTGAAGAGTTTATGACCATCTTTAATCCCACACCCTTCTGGGCTAATACCGTTTCGGGATGGCAAGGATTTGTCAATGAATTTTTGTTCTATTACCCGGTCGATATGATCAACATGCATATTAATATGAAGGTGGCCCAGAATGGTATCTTTGCTCAGTTTTGGCTTCGCTTGAAGGCCTTGAAACCGGTATATGATCGTGTCATCGCTTTGCCTGAGGCTCAACGTGTTGCTGCTGCTCTACAACTTAGTGGTATTGATATTATCCAACTGGATACTTTTATTCGTAATACATTTGGCTGGCAAATGCCTCCCACATTGGCCCCAACCACAACAACTACAACCACTACCACCACAACTGTTGCTCATTAGCTACTAACGATCATATACAATATTGAGAGTGGTTGAAATAAAGAAACAATGGAATGTAAAAATAGTCAAAATCGAGTGACTGGAAAGTCGGCGGTTGTTAGCAACAGAAACAGTAGTCAAATATACGGTTGCAAATATAAAAACATCCACCGAAAATTTTTTTGTCAAAAAGGAGAGAGAGGGAAAATTAGCGCAAATAGTAGAAACTAGTTTTGATATTAATGAAATGTTTACATTTTTTTTGAAAAAATGGCTTCTCATGAATATTCTAAGCGAGATACATGTAATTAATGGAAAAATTAATTATGAATGGAACTATGACAATATTCATTAACATCTTTTTTGTGCAGTTCGATTGTAAAGAGGAGAAACGTATTTTTCGAAAAAAGAAGAAAGAACAAGAAAAACGTGAGCGGGAGCAAATGGAGATGTACAAATGAAGCTGACGGTATAGATTGTATACCACCTAGCCAAGATGAGGTCAGAAGAGCAAT